GAGGCAAAAGTGTAACTTACCGACAACGCTACGCGAGTGTCTACAAGAAAACTGTGTATATTCGTCTGTTTTAAGTTTTCTAAAGTCAATTGGAATATACAACAAAATTTAACATCAGTGCCTGTACAAATAAATGTGTAATCTTCTATTAACCAATGTACTTCAAATCAGATTTATGTATGTAAAACTCTATCTATGTTCTGTCTATGTCTGTATTTAATCTATGTCTAAAAAAATGTAAAACAAAATTGTAATACCAAGCGGCGCTAATAACCACTTAGGTTGATGCGACTTAATTAAAAAAAAAGGTTAGTAAATATCCGATGACGAAAGAGATGCCACCACGCATCAAAATATCTTTCTAACAACAAAATTCGTCTACTTCTCAATATCTAAATTCTATATGAGATTTATTCCAAAAGTACACGATCTTCGATAATAACTGCACCAAAAACTTCAAGCGGGATACTTCCTCTGTGGGATACTAGCGTTAACTAATAACTCTTCACAAAGTTGTATTCCGCAGTTACCCACGGGAAATATCTTGGAATATCCTACTTTTATTTTAACTGCATTTTTTAGAATGTTAACAACGATTTGCATTTAAATTTGGCAAAAGTTGTGGAAAATTATTCGAATCGCACATAAGTCATTTTGAAGATTAGGAAATTAATGTCTAAGCAAAGATAGATAAAAAATAGTTCAATTGGGTTTCAAACGCTACAAATTAACCCGTGTTCTGGCCACCCTTCCAGCACAACACCGCTAAATATCGAATGACTGACGAAGATTGTCTTTTGATTATAAGTGAACTAAGAAGACACTTTGAATTCAGAAAAATTGTGTTTCAAGAAGAATAAGTGAGACCGAGAAGTTTGAAAAAGATTGTTGTGGAGCAATCGTGGCTTAAGAATATCAGACGGTCCAGCAATGACGACACAAATACTACATATCATTTTATAAACATCACCTTATGCAAAGCTGTTTTAAAAATATACATGACATTTATACACGTTTACAGTGCTTTCGACAGGTCTAATAATAATTTCATTGAATACAATACAAACAATAGTAAAAACAAACGGATTTAACTATGTACGCCTTCTGTAAAATGCAAAGTATTTGGTAACCAGACAAATTTGTAGAACAGCTTTATTTTTACCAACCAATAAAACATTAAGACAAGATTTATTTGTAATATTTGGGCCTAGTATAATAGGTTACTAGGATTGCACCAGAGATGGCGCTATTAGGTCTGCAGTTTCGTTTTTCTAAAGACGATAGCTTGAGATTGAAGTTTTATGTAGATCTTTCAACTGATTGGCATATTTACAACTAAAACGTATACGAAGTTGACATATGACAGTATTTGTTACATCGGAACAAATTTAATATCATTTAGTGATACATTTTTATAAATATATAAATATTCATTAAATAAATTAGGTTTGGAAGATGTAGTAACAAAACAAAGTCTTCAATTATTAATTTCCAAAAGGCATTTGATTGTGTTAAGCACTCTATATTGATCGAAGCTCTAAAAGACATTGGCTTGGACGGCAGAGATGTTCGAATAATTACAAATTCATATTGGAATCAAACAACATCAGTTTTAGTAGATGGTGTGGAATCACAGGCTTTCAATATTAAAAGAGGAATACGGCAGGGATGCCTTTTGTCACCCCTGCTTTTCAACGTTTACTCCGAAAGAATTTTCAGAAAAGCACTTTCTAAAAAACAAGAAGGAATACTTGTGAACCGTGAAGTCATCAATAATTTGCGATATGCGGACGATACAGTACTCCTAGCTTCTAGTCAAGAAGATCTGCAAACACTACTTGATAGTGTCGTTGAGAGTTGTAGGGAGGCAGGTCTGGATCTGAACATACGGAAAACAAAAATACTCGTAATAAGTAAACAACAGCATATAAAACCGTCTATATATGTAAATAATACCATACTTGAGCAAATTGATAAAATTGTTTACCCTGGGCAGCAATTAAATTGTAAACGCAGAAAGTCACGGCGAAATTAGATCTAGGATAGAGCAGAGCTAGAGCTGCTTTTTAGAAGGATGTCCAAGGTGTTATGTAACAGAGACTTAAAATTGGCATTGAGGATCCGTCTACCTTGCTGAGATATAGCAGAGTCCTGAACTGTGAATAAAATAAATCTAAATAGCCTTGAGGCTTTCGAAATGTGGTGCTTTAGTAGAATTTTAAAAGTTTCCTGGGTGAAGAAGATTCGAAACTCCACAATACTAGAACGTCTCAGCAAGACTACTGAGAGCATAAAAAGCATCAAGCAGAGAAAGCTGGAATATTTCGGATATGTAATAAGAGGTCCCAAATATAGGTTGCTACAAAATAACATGCAAGGAAAAATAGCAGGCAAGCGCAGTCCAGGACGAAGAAGAACCTCATGGTTAAAGAACTTGCGAGATTGGTATGGTGTTGATACAAGCATGATATTTAGGGTGGCAGTGAATAAAATTAAGATAGCTATGATGGTAACCAACGTTCTGAAAGGACATGTTACATGAAGAAGAAGAACAACGTAAAAATAAAAGAAAATTAGATGAATATTTATGGTTGTTGATAAAAGATATATTAGTGCTTATTATGCGCTTTTGGATATATTTGCTACGTGTCCAAAATAGTGCCTATTTTGGATACGTAGTAAGGGGAGACCGATATAATATTCTTCAACTTATTATGATGGGTAAAATCGAAGGACGCAGAGGAATTGGTAGAAAGCAGGCCTCTTGGTTGAAGAATATCAGGAAGTGGACAGGAATAAGGAAAGCTGAGCAACTCTTTAGAATAGCTCGAGACAGAGACAGTTTCGCCATGTTAATCGCCAACGTCAAGGGGACTTGATAGGGTACGTTAAGAACAAGAAGTGCTTATTATAGAGTTATTTCAGTAAGATTCTCTTTAGGAATCTTATACAAATATGTCAAACTGTTTACTATACAGGTGTGGAAATATACTATAAAAATAACCTTTTAGTCATATACGATTAGAATTGGTTGGCTAAAAAATATTTTACTATTATTCAAATATCCATTTTTTAGGATGGATTTGTGCTTTTGGAGCAATTGGCCATTTGCATATTTTAGTTAAATCCGCTATAACTCACTAGGTTACACTAGCTGGCTTAAAAATATTCGTAAATATTGAATACTGACAATTTTTAATAATATTTACACTTATTGTAGGCCTTATGTAGGAAAATTTTTTCATTGGGCATCTAAGTCGTGGCAGTGTGGAATGCATATCGACATATCTACCACATCCAATCATTGTCAAAGTAGTCAACAAGAAATGAACTTAATAAAACCCAATTCGATAGCTTATTTGGAACATGTTAAACGTTGAAGCACGACCCAAAGTTATTCAAATTACTTTCAGCAAACTATCATAGGGAAATATATTGTAGCAAGAAGCTCAAAATAGAAATAGGTGGTACATTTTACAGGAGTCCTAACGTTTAAACAGTGGACAAATATAGGCTAATTGATAATGAAGATAAAACTGCCACGTTTGAGAAACTTTTTAGCAGTTATTTGGTGTACACTTCTTAAACATTTCAATAGTCTTCATTGTAAAAAATACAATTATAGGAATATAGGAGAGAACTAAAATACAACGTACAGTATTTATATATAAACAAGTAAAACAATAACAAGAAAGGTACCATGATTAGCAATCTACTCATAAACTTTAATATACTGAACGAATACTGAATAATCTGACAAGATACCAAAGAAACATCACAAAAAAAATTTATACCCAAAAGTTGACGATGCAGTTTGTTCAGTTGGAAATGACCACCCACTTACTAACTGTTGAGAATTGGCAAATCGTTATTTTAAGTCCAAAATTTCTGAAACGTTCCCGAATGGCGTGGACGGCATATTTCTGGAGTTTTCTAGATCTAATTTCTTTTTAAATGTCATCTAGCTGTTCTTATGTGTTCAATCAAGGAGTCGCCGAATCTGTTGAGGTAGGTGATTTGTGGATCTGTTTACTATTTAATATATATTTTATATAACTGTAACAGCGTAGCAAGGGGCTGCGTGACATCATCGAGCAAAAAGACAATAGAGGGAATGTAAAGTTAGTGGGGGCAAACATATTGTTAGACAGGAAGTGCGATCTTTAGAGGCCACTTTAAACAAGGAAAGAGAGTCTCTCTCCTTGTTTGAAATCAAATTTAGTTGGGTTATGTTATTGTTTATCCCAAATGTCACATGAAATCTTACTTATATTGAAGTTTTTTTAAACAATTGTGTCGCATTTTAGACTCTTTATCATTAATAATTAATTAAAACTTTCTCGTCTAAGACACATTCTGAAAAATATTATATAGCTACTGTTGATAAGTGTCGGAAAATTTAAATTTCGCGCATTCGCATTTCCGGATATGTCCGTCATCAGAGGCCACTTTTTTGGTCTCCTTTTCATAAGGATTAGATTCCCTCTTTTGTCTTATTGCTCGATGCGTGACATATACATGACATGGCTAACTTCAGATCAGTCAGCACAGATTGGACAACTTGTCATGGATTTGACAGATGCTTGATTTTTTGAGATGTAAATATAGATAAAATATAAAACATTAATAATAAAAAGAGAGTGTTCTACAGACATTATATGAAAGATATATATATTTTTTTAAAGAATGGTTTTGACAATGGAAATATGCAACGAAAACAGAGTATGAAAAAGATTTCTACTAAAAGAATTTAAAGTGTGTCTTTTTTTATGCCAGCTAGTGTATAAACACCGACCCGTACAGGTCAAACATAATTTGAGGAACATAAAATTTAGTAATATTTACAATAACTTTAAACATATAAATTAAATTCGTGTATGAAATATTTTTTTCAAACATACTTAACATTAATTAGAATATATCCTGGCACATGGTGTATATTGGCTTAAAACAGCCAAAATAAAATAATATAAAAAACGTATTTTATAAAGTTCTCTCTTCTAAAGGCCTGAAGGTGCTTGCTCTGAAAATTCGTCAGAGCCCACAGACATGTCCGCTATAATGCCGCTTTCTGAAAAAGAAAAATTGTCTATTAATCTTTAAATAGAGAAATGAATTGTATTTATTAATATATGCCATGTTTTTAGTCTCTCTATATGTAAAAATATTGGGTATTAAAATATATTCATAGTAACTCTCCGCTCACTACAAACGGTATGATTTATTTCTCTTGAAATAAAAAAGTATTAAAAGCACCACAGGCACTCAACAGAAACTAAAAGCAGAAGTACCGGCAAAATCAAGAGTAAAAAGAGACCTCGACAGAGTACCATAGCTCCCCCTCCCCCCACGAGTTTCTAAAAAACCAAAGGAACTTAAGTCATATCATCATCACATTCATTAACATCTTAGTAGATGTGTTGTGGTTCATAATTGGGCTTCAGCAGCTCGGACAGTTTGATTGATAATATTTCTCCACTGGTCGCGGTCATCAGTTATATGTAGTGCCTCAGTATACTGTTTATTGAGAAGTTTTTTAGTAATGTCCGCCCATCGCTGTGGAGATCTTCCGCGTTGGCGTTGAGTCTGAGGCCTTCCTTGGACCACCAACCGCTCCATTTTGTGATCACTTCGATGGATATGGCCAAAGAACTTTAAAATTCTAGAGTAAACGGTACTGGAGAGACGCTGATCCGGTTTAATTTCATCCAGAACCGAGATATTTGTACGGCGAGCCGTCCATGGAATTCGAAGCAGGCGTCTCCATGTCCACATTTCAAAGGCGTCTATACGTCGTCGATCTGATTCTTTGACTGTCCATGTCTCGCATGCATAGTAAAATATGGAAAAGACCAGAGTTGAAACGAGTCTCTTTTTTGTTTGTCATAGTAATGTGACGATCACGCCAGACCCCGTTTAGTTCACTCATTGCTGCTCTTGCTAGTTGAATGCGTCTTCTAATTTCGGATTCACAACTGCCTGTGTTGTTAACTAGAGCTCCAAGATATATCATAGATGAGACTACCTCGCATCCCGCAATAGTTTGGGTTTCAGGAAACTGTTGCTGGCGATCAATAACCATGATTTTGGTTTTGTTGTAGTTAACCATGAGTCCAAATTTAGCACTTTCTACCTCGAGTTTTTTTAATAATTTAATAATTTCTTCTGGAGTAGAGGCTAGAAGTGTAGTGTCGTCTGCGAAACGCAAGTTAGATATCTTAACACCACCTAGGTTTACTCCTCCCTCCCAACCATCCAAAACTCTGCGAATTATGAACTCCGAATAGATGTTAAATAATAAGGGAGATAAAACGCATCCTTGGCGTACTCCCTTCTCCAAAGTGCATTTGTCAGACAGATATCCGTCCATTCGAATATATGCCAGGTTATCTTGATAAAGTTTGCTAATAAGGTGAGTCAAGTGTTTAGGTACACCCATTGTCGTCAATATGTTCCATAGTTTGTCCCATCTAACATTATCAAAGGCTTTTAGTCTTTAGACAAAGTCATATAGCAATGCCATAAAATTATGTATGATAGAGATGGCACATGGACACCATTCTGATACTCAACTAGATCAGGCTTAGCAGACTAGATCATAAACAAACTAGAGCAGACTTACATGTAGTCGATCGCAATAATATTCACAAGCGTATCATGATCCTTACCCGAGTGTTCGCGAAAGAGAAACAAAATCAGATCTTCAATTTTTCCACAGAATTTTTTCAAGTTAGGATAAATTATAACGCTTCTATTTCCCCCGTATAATGCAATCTAAACAAAAATTGTTTATTGTCAGAATAATAACAAACGATGTCAATACCTACAAACTGATGCAACAATCTTGAAAATCGGAATAGAAATAAAAAAAGTTATAAATTGACAAACTTAATCAAAAATTTTTAGTGGTGAAAATTTGTGACAAGGAGTGTTCATTAGGCACACAAAACTAAAAATAATGATATTTTTAACCTAAAATGATAAAATATTGTAAATTTTGTGTACCACGTACAATAAGATATAATTACTGAGAATTGCTCATAAAGGTAACACGATAGAAGTTTTTGGTGTTTCTTTTGAAATAAATCTTCATACTGCAGGCTTCTTATTGTTACCGCTTTTTTTAATTTAAAATTTGATGTTCTATCAAAGTGTAATGACAGCTGACAGATGTGAGACGACCAGAAATAAGACATGAAGTCGGAAGATATCCTTTCTACAATACTTTAATCAATAATCTACAATGGATAGCTTTTTAATCTCGTGGCAATGTGAAAATCCCATTTAGCAATAAACAAAATAATGCTGACTACTATAACTACACGATACTTTTACGCCAAAACTTCTTTTGCTACTACTCAAGCCTACGTGTGAAATAATTGAATATTTGGCATACCAAAGTAAAATGCTATCAAAGCAATTCTTTATGTGTTTTATTAGATAGAACCCCAGACAATGGCAAAACAAACAGGTACCTGAAAATAAAACTTTGTAGAATAGTCGGTTTTATAGCAAAAGATGTTTTAACGTATCAATTACTGACCAAACATGTAATGTTGCCAAAAGCACAGAATAATAAACAATCAGAATGCCCACTCTCCATGGAAAATTAAGTACGCGCATCTCCTTCACGCAGACGTTCCGCCATGTTTTAGAGGGAACCAGTGTTGTTTATGTGGTGTACATAGAAAAATTAACCCGGTTTAATTGACTTACGGCAATCATAGACATAGATACTATACAATTATATTAACATTGTTAAATATAATAACATAAATATAATATAATTACATAAATATAAAGTATTACATAACCTCACAAATCATATGTCTGTGTTATGTGTTTCCTTCTAAAACATGGCGCGCGTGCTGAAAAACTTCAAAGGCGGCATCTGAGAGTGGACATTCTGATTGTTTATTATTATGTGCCAAAAGTAATAAACATTATAAGAAATACTATACCGATATTTTAACTAACTACTTATTTTTCTTTTATTTGACGTAAAACATTAATAAAACAACACTTATTTATGAAATTATCAGTTACTTGATCAAAATTTATATTAATTTAACACAAAATATATGCAAAAATGTATATATCACAAAAGGTAAAAAACTTTTTAATTTCCACAGAATGTCTCACTAAATCACCAGCTGTTTCAGAAGATTGACAATTCTATTCATTATAAATTCTGACTGCATTTTTAAGAGTAAACAGACAAATATAAAATTTCTAAAAATAAACTAATCATGCACTTGAATATCACTAGATTTCAGTGTAAAGAGAAGTGCCTAGCGCTATCTATGAGGAGAAGTTTATATAAAATGAGGTTGGTCTAAGTGATACTAGATGGCGCATCCTTTGGGATCAATAAAATTTCTTAAAAAGACAATAATTTAATGGTATCGTAAATATACTATTATAATTCGTAAATATATTTTAATAATTATTGCAGAAATCTCATTTTCTATTTCAAAATATTGTAAGAGTTGTATCAGGTACTAAAATGAAATGCAAAATGGGCGTTATTATTTGCTCCATGTTTAACTAATCGCCATTAATTCACTGGATTAACTTAATAAATACTTCTTGGTCATAATAAAAGTTGTGCATAAGAAATATATTTATGTTAATAAATCATTTTGTCTGGGGAAACATGAAATTGATGGATTATGTGTCAAACACATAAGATAAAGTGAATAGTTGGCAGGTGGCGCTGTTAATATAAAGTTTACTATACCCAAAATAATCCTAAGACTGCAATTACAAACGATATAAAAATTTACATTATCGCCCAAAAAAATTGACAAAGAAAATAATATTTATTTATGTCTTTTACCGTAAGTTTTGTATTTTTTATACTTCTAAGTGATATTTTTAGTTAATCTTTAGTTAATTTTTAGTTAATCTAGTTTAGTTTAATCTCTTGTCATATTCATATACTGATGTTGGTGTTCAAATCAATACAATCCAATGTGTAAGAGATAAACAGAAGACAGGGATAAATTGAGACGAATAGAAGAGTCACATATTCATATTACGAATAGATAATAGATTATAGATAGATGCTTCATATCTGATTACTTACCTACAGAGCACTGGCTATTTAAAGTCGAAGACTTATGAAAAGACTTGGGACTTTCACAAGTTTCAAAGCCTAGTCCTAATTGATTACTACTTGGTCCGATTGGTGTTCCGGCTGATCCCGCTGATCCTCCAGAACTTGTGCTACTTGACGAAACGCTCGACATGGATATTACCGATTGCGGTCGAGCTACGATCCGACAGCTGTCCGCTATTGAACCTGCAATGGAATTGCGGAATCGAGGAACGGCTGCAAAACAAACTATTTTTAATATAGTAACTGTAGACAAGTTTAATAACTACAAATAAAAAATAAATAAAAGTAACAATAAAACAACTGAAAACTTTGTTTTCAAACTTCCACAAAATTTATTTTAAATCTTATCACTACAGCTGTTTCGGCGGATAGCCTTTCTCAAGTGATCTATTTTTGGCTTGGGTTTACAAATTTATAGTCTCTAATGAAATAGGTTGAGAAGAGAGAACTGTTTGTCTCAAGTTGGTCATTCAGAATTATAATCTGTGTTTTTTAATTTGTTGATTTCCATAGATTCTAACAAAGATAGCTTAAGGCCTTTATTTTGAATGTGAAGAATTTTAAATTTGTCATTAAAAGAATGATTATGATCTAGAAGGTGAAGTGCGTATGTCGAATCTGTTTTTCTATTCTTGAAAACCCTTTTATGTTCTGCTATTGGTTTATCAAAGTTTCTACCAGTTTGACCGATGTAAGTTTTTGGCAGTCGCCACATTAAAGTTTGTACACACCACTATTTAAGTGTTTTTTATTTTGGCTCTTGTTATTTTTAATATATTTGCCTAGGTTGTTATTTGTTCGGAAATCTGGTGTTATTCCTTTCTTTTTTATGTGTTTGACAATTTTTGTTGTTATTTTGCCTGTATATGTAATCGAGCAGAAGGTACTGGGTTTTTCTCTTGGTGATGAAAATACTAATTTCAGGGCTTTCTTGTGTAGTTTTTTGATTTAACATTTTATTAATTGTTTGTTCGTTGTATCCGTTGTTTACTGCTATTTGCTTAATTATATTTAATTCTGTCTGAAAGTTGTCTTTTGACATCGGAATTTCTGTTAATCTATGTAACATACTATGATAAGCTGCCAGTTTATGTTGTGTTGGATGGGATGATGAATTGTGGATAGTCGTGTCAGTATGGGTAGGTTTATGAAATATGGAGAAGTCATGTTTGTTTTGAAGTCTGCTAATTTTTAAATCTAAAAATTTATGCATTGATTTTATTCTGTTTCTATTGTAAATTCAATATGACTATAAAGTAAATTAATATACGATAAAAATTGGTCGATTGCCTGTTAGTTCCTGTGAAACATACCATACGTCGTCTACGTATCTCCAACAATATGTGTTTTGTTTGAAAAGTGTTTCAAACACAACTTTCAAAGAAAAGTTTTTCAGTGTTTTATTGTTACATAAAATGAATTTCCATCAAGTAACGGTCGAATCCATCAATTATTTAATAAAAAAAGGTTATTACCCAGATAGCATGCAAACTTGGAGCAAGTTTGATTTTTGTTTGATTCTAAATTGTTTCGTCGAATATGATGAGGCAAGTTATTTTACAATTACAAAAGAAGCATTAACAAAGTTGTTTTAGTTGTGTAATTGATTATTGTATCCTTTTTGGTGTAATTGAAGTAAGTCAATAAAAAACGTGTTATTGTTTCTTTAAATTTTTTTGAGGTTATGTAAAAAAAATGCAGATAACACATTGTAGTTTTTTTTATTCTCTACAATTTTTGCATTTAACATTTTTCTGTAAAACCACAAGTTACGAAATTATACATAAAAAACTTTTTCGTCCGTTAAAACTGTATCAGATTGCACGGCAAACATGGCGAACTTGAAGCAAATCTTCTTTTTGATATACCAAAATTGTTGCAAGTCTGAATTAAGTCTATATTGTTATCTGGCAATGGTATTAAGTTCATCATTAACAATATAATATTAAGAATATATTATTAATGTGGAAATTTAGATTACTGAAAACCGCCAGGGTAGCATGATAGGTAAAGCGTTAATTTACTGAGAGAAAACTTGGTGAGTCGTTGAGTTCAAAACTCAGGGCCAGATACACTCTCTATGTGCCAGATAAGGGACCCTTTACAAACAAAATCTACCCTATTGAACTTACATAGATCATTACATTAAATTGTTTCAATTACCTTCCAAAACTTTTTTACAGGCTAGTTTTTTTTCAATTTACGCTGATCTTTATTGTTACATTACTGTTTTTTCACTTCAAGAATCATTTATTGTAACTATCACCGGTTTACTTTCACTTTCTCACAGTATTCTTTTAATTATAACTCATTATTTCTATATTATTATGTCATATCCATCAATCAATAGTCACTGTCGTATAGTGTTTCTTGATCTTTATTCGGTACAGTCTTAGTTTTTCCAAAATTGACATTGAGAGGAAGTGAGTTCTTGTTACAGAGAGTACAAATACATACAAGTTTTATTATACTAACAGCAAAACTATCCCTTTGGTAACACGAATGTAAACCATGAAGAAAATTAAGCAAGGATCACTATAACAAGTAATTGACTGTAACAAATATTGATGAAAGAGTGAAATGTAACAAAAATGAGGAATGTGTAGCAAAAATGTGCAGTGTAGCAATAGGGTAAACTCTAAAATGTACCTTGATACACCAACGAACTAATATGTGGAATAACAGAAGATGGAAGGGATTAGATAGAAATAAATTATGTAAAAGAAATAAATAAAGGGTAAATATGAATTTTAAAATATAATAAAATTAATGCTGGCTAGCGACTATGCAGGAGAATGACCACTTGACACTCAAAGAGGGATTCGGCCAATTTGCATGCCCTACAGAGACCGTAAGATATAAGAATTAATGACTAGAAACTACCAAGAAATAAACAGATGAAAGATAAAGTTGCTCTACTGAATGTTTGGGCGCCAGGAAGTTAAATGTTTTCTTCCGAGATATCTTGTATTGCTGAAATATAAAAAGTTGGGTACTAATTGAAATATTAAATTTTTAACCACAACTTTAATAATTACCAAAACTTATGTACAGACTATGTTAAATGCTTATCTATGACCCACCACCTCTTATGTACAATTAACTTATCTATATTTACAGTAAAATCCCTGAATATAATTATAAAACAATTTCCCCCTAATATACCTCTTAATTTTAAATTCTGACAAAGGTTATACTCAATAATTATGTATAAATAATAAATATAAAAATACTACTCACTAATAATTTAGTTTTCGTTTAATAAATGTTTAAATTTTCAAATGAAACTCTCCGGATATGTGTGCACACGATAACCTAACAAAGAGAGATTCAAGGGAGAGTTAAAACCTCATCCCTTGGTAGACAATAAATAATTGAAATTAAGTTATAATGACTATTGTTTTAGAAAAATTGAATGAATTTATTATTAAAGATATATATTTAAATTATAAGTGAAGCAAAAGTTAAAACCTTGAAGAGGATGTAGCAAAAGTTATAAAAAATATTGGAATGAGAAGCAAAAAAAATAAAAATAAGTTCTTCCTGCCGGTTTCCGTCGGTTGATCTGGAAGATGATCCGGTGAAGAACTAGATTCAGGTGGGTACAGGTACACCAAGCCTGGATTTCATGTATACAAATTCTTCTTTAAATCCCCATATAAAAGCCCATAAACTTAAAATTTCTTCCCCTTTTCTTAATAAATATAACCCAAAACTAAAAGTTTCTTCCTGACTTGTGACTGGATTCCGGAAGTAGGCGGCTGAGGTGATCCAACTTAAAGTATCTTCAAACAACAACAAAATAACAAATGGCTTCTTCTAAAGTAACGGTTCTTCACAAATAAAAATGAACTTAAACTAAATTCGGGAAATAAATAAAATAAATAATTGATCGAAACGATCTTTATTCGATCAAACCCAGTCAACAAGTGGTTCTCTTAACGTTTACAAGTCGTCAAGTCGACGTACTTTCAGAATCTTACACCAGAGGGCGGGATTTAATGCCAACCTTAGAAAGTAAAATTTACTGGGAGTTATTTAAATATTCAGTTTAAGAATATTTCAAATATGAATTTAATTTAGAATTAAATTAAAAGACTCCAGTCACAAAAAGGGTAAACGGTTATTTAAGTAACGGACTCGTTACATCACGACTTGGATTGTGAAAACGATTTCTATAAATATTTATACTGATTTATTTAAAAAGATGATACTTACTTCGGCTAAGTTGAGCAAAGCTAATAGATCTATCGCTGATTTGATTGTCGCTAGGCCGAATATCCAAACAGGGTTTGTTTCCTATTCCCATTGAAGACATTTCAGCCATCCTTACAGCTAAAAAATAATAAAATTAAATCGTATAGTAAATACAGCTTTATTGTTTGCATTTTTCTTAAAATATGAGTTAAATTTAAATGAACTTTGATCAAGTAAAAGGCAAATATCAAACACAGTTTAATTAATTTAATCTTGCCCAAGTACTTTCGCTCCTTAGGGCATCTTCACGGGCATTTCATCAATTGTGGCCTCTCCGACAAGAATAAAATGTTATTAACATAAAATGGTACATTACACTACACAAGGATAAACACATTAAAATTATTAAAGATAGGAGAATCTACATTGTGTACGAAAGCCGGAGATATAATTTTGGCCATTCTGTGTTTGGGCTTTGGATTCGGCGTTCTGTAGGTCCCATATATTTAAGTACACTTAATGATAGTTAAAAAAGATATATGCAGAAGAGTTGTTTACGCTCTAAATGGGGTACTAACACACCCTTTCATGACCATATTACCCCTCGAAATAAATAAATTTGACAATTTTGTTTAGAAACCTATTAAGCATTCAATAAAACCCAAAGACTATATATAGCTCAGATTCGAGAGGTAACAGCACCCAGCACCCAATCCTCAATATTAAGATATGTTATTTACTGAATACATTACTAAGGTTTTTTTTTTTCAATTAACAACGTGCCAGATGATCAAATGAAAGCACACCAGCAATTGATTTATTCACTTCAAAAGTGAAGTACTTTGGTACCCATGTTCGTTACGATATTTCTTGGATTGGCAATATGACACAGAGTTGTTGTGACATGGCGGCCAATAAGTTATGGAAGGTTGGTTGTACGGTTTCACTTTAATATTGATTAAAAGGTGTTCCCGTCAACTACTTGTTTCATGAAAACACAAAAAAAAAAGAAATACATATCCTAACAGATCTAGATTGCTTTCTGTCATCGCTAAACTCTTTGAATAACTTTTGAAACAAATTTACATCTAATGACTCTCTCTCTTCTCAAGATCATGCGATTTGCATCAACAGTGAAACTATAGAAAATGATTTTAAAATAAAGCGTGATAAACTTTTTTTAATGAACGCGTCCACCGAATTTATAAGGAAATGACAAATACAACCATACCACAAAATAATAAACAATCAGAATGCCCACTCTCAGATGCCGCCTTTGAAGTTTTTCAGCACGCGCGCCATGTTTTAGAAGGAAACACATACCACAGACATATGATTTGTGAGATTATGTAATTGTTTATATTTATGTTTAATTATATTATATTTATGTTATTATATTTAACAATGTTAATATAATTGTATAGTATGTCTATGATTGCCGTAAGTCAATTAGACCGGGTTCATTTTTCTATGCACACAACATAAATTTTTACTAGTTCCCTTTAAAACATGGCAGAACGTCTGCGCGAACTTAATTTTACTTAATTTTCCATGGAGAGTGGGCATTCTGATTGTTTATTATTATCTGTGACCATACTATCTATCTTTTTTCTATCCTTCCATTGTTGAATATAGGTCTCCCCCAGTTCTCTCCATCTTTCCCTATCTTGAGCTGTTCTCTGCCATGTGGGACCCATCCTTGTTTCATGATTGTCATCTTTCCACCCTCATCTGTGGTCTGCCTCTTGATCTCTTTGCATTGTATGGACGCCACTTCCGATGGCATTGTTCCATCGTCCGTCTTGGAGACCTTTCATTGTGTCCAGCCCATTTCCATTTCAGTTTTGCTGCTTGTTTCTATCGCGTCTACTGTCTTTGTTCTGGTCCTGATCTACTGGTTACGTTTTCTATCTTTAAGTGATATACGAGAGCGATGGAGAGGTCAATGTTGGGCGTATCACTCAGGGACAGAGTTTCGAGTCAGATAGTAAGGAGAAAAACTGGTGTGACGGACGCAGTTGAAAGAAGTACAACCCTGAAATGGAACTGGGCAGGACATGTTGCTAGGGTCAGAGATGGAAGATGGACAAAGAAAATTTTAGAGTGGAGGCCTAGACACGATGCTTATCGTAGTCGAGGACGTCCTCCAACAATGGTGGGTCGGACGATTTAAAGCGCATCCAGTCTAACTGGATTCAAGTTGCTCAAGATCGGATGCAATGGAATTATTTACGGGAGGCCTATGTTTCAGCAGTGGACGCAAAATGGCTAATGATGATGATGATGATGATGATGATGATGATGATATACCTTGCTTCGTAAGTATGGAGGGATTGTTCTGATTGAACAGAATTACGGTCATGGTTGCGTTTTGGTAAATATCATGTATCAATTGTCGGTATCTTGAATCTATTCTACTATTGACCAGAGCTTCTTCAACCGGCCAGTGTTCAAATGCTGTCCAAAGCCTTTTCATAATCTACGAATGCTAAGTACAGCGGAAGGTTGTATTCATTGGTTTTATCTCAATTAAGATTTTAAGCGTATGTAGATGGTCGATTGTGCTGTAATCCTTTCCTGAAACCGGCCTGTTCCACTGGTTGGTAGTTATCAAGTTAATCGGTTGTTTATTATTCTTGTGAAGGTTTTATATAGTTGTGACCAAAGGGAGACAGATACAAGTATACTATCTTACTTACCTCTATTTTTAATAGCTTGTCTCCATAAGAGTTGTGACAATTCCTCAGTCCATATTTTCTTTACTTCTTCGGTCATCGATTGGAGAGTAAACGTATCGTTCGGTTTTCGTTTTCTAAACCAAATTTCGAATTTCGTAGGGCTTTCTCCTATTTTGGCAGTCAATCCAATATCAGTCATTTTAATACTATTTTTGTAAATATACAAGTCGAGATTCTAAAACAGTAAAAAAGATTAGTACAATTTAATTACCATTTTAAAGGACAATAATATTTTTACAAAATAGAAACAAAAATAAACAATAAAAAGCAGGATTAAAAAATAAAAAAATAATAAAATACTGTGATTGTTTTTTTTTTAATTTTTTATTAAAATAACAGTAACTTTGGCGCTAACATCTCTTTACTCCAGTAGAGTATTTCAAGATCTTTTTGAATGTGTTTTGAGAGTTTAAAAGATGGTGTTTAAATTTTATAAGAAGGACTCGAATCTATTTGCATGTAATACATGCAGATAAAGCTCCTTAACCTTAAATGAATTGATTACGGTAACTCTGGTCAACTATTAAATGATAAATAAAATATACACACATATGTTAAATAATCTTTATGTAAACTATCAGATTATGTATCTTTATGTAAACTATATTTGTTTGTTTCATCGACTTCGAGAGGCGTTCGACAGAGTCCAACATAATACACTTTTCGACTGCCTACGGGGCAGCAAGACTTGACCACTACGATATAAGACTGCTGAAATACTTATATTACAATCAAGTAGCCTCTATCCAAATTGGAGACAGTCCCACTGAAAAAATACCCATCAAACGTGGAGTACAGCAGGGTTGTGTTTTGTCACCCACTCTTTTTAATCTGTACTCTGAAGAAAATGTTTAGTGAGGCTTTGGATGACAGACAAGAGGGAGTAAGACTAGGTGGAGAAGTAATCAACAATATTAGATACGATGACGATACAGCCATTCTTGCAGAAAGTTTACAAGATTTCCAAACATTACTAAATCTAGTCAGTGAAGCAAGTTATCGGAGAGGCCTAAAAATCAACATTTCAAAGACAAAGTGGATGGCAGTTGGAAAGATCCATATAGATCAAGGTCTGCTTTCTCTTAATGGAGAAGAGATAGAAAGGGTAAATCATTTCAAATACCTTGGCAGCTGGTTAAATGTAAATTGTGACTCTGATGAAGAGATAATATCCAGGATCGAAATATCACGTACGGCTTTTATGACCTGGAAACCAGTTTTATGCAACAGAAACCTGTCAATGAATATTCGTAAGAAAGTCCTGAAATGTTATGTGTAGACGATCCCATTTGTATGGTTGTGAGACATGGACGTTAAAAACCACAATGCTAAACAAGTTAGAAGCATTCGAATTGTGGTGCTATAGACGAATCCTAAAGATATCGTGGGTTTCGCACACTTCCAATGAAGATGTTCTTCAAATGATCAATTCAGAACGTCTGCTCATAAACACCATAAAAAGGAGAAAAACAGAATACTTCGGCCATATAATTAGAGGACCTAAATACCATTTACTTCGCCTTATAATACAAGGAAAAGTGGAAGAAAAGAGATGGATTGGTCGAAAGAAACTTTCATGGCTACGTAATATTAGACAATGGTGTGGTTCCACGGTAGAAGAATTATTTCGCGCAGCAGCCGACAGAGAAAGGTTTCAGGAAATTGTAAACATGATGACGGCCAACGTCTGAATACGGACACGGCACCCAAAGAAGAAGAAGAAACTATCAGAAGAGTGTAAGATATTCTTATTCTTATGACTTTTTCTGGATCGGGTTAGAAGTGTGTTTTTGTCAATTTTTGTCCATACATTTTATACTTCTCTGTGTCTTTTTATTTCTTGCCAGCGTTTCTCATTTCTACCTAATTCCACGATTCATTATCATTATTTTCTTTTGTTTTCTCTATCTATTTCTTCCTATTCAAATTTGATATTCCTCTTTGAATAACAAATTTATTGTGCTATTCTCTATAGTCATGTTTTTAACTTTGTGCAGATGGTACTTTTGCACCAATTTTCATACTTTTCAATAATTATTATTTAAAATTATTTCCTTCCAGTTTAGTTTATTGAGCTCTTTCCTTGAAGTTCGAATCCTGTACATACTTATTTGTTTTTATCTCTACATATGATTTATTTCTTATTATTTCTTTTTTATGATTAATAACTCTTGTTTACCTAACGTTAATACTTCTATTTTTAGTTAATACATTTTTTTATGTAAAAATCAGAAAATAAACTATATTATATTAATATATCTGAGATTAAACATTTTTAATTCAGAAGGAATTTTCTTACCTTACGGTCTGGGAACCTTCTAGCCTTACTAAATAGTATCAAGTCTTCAAACAGAAATACTTGTCTCAAAGACTTCTTGCCGCTAACGTCCTTCCCATACCAAAAATTCGTTTTGCCTTAAGAGTCTACCCTGTTCCTTGAGATTAACCTAAAAAACAAATATGTATATTAACTAAATATAACTGTAAATAGCAGAATACAATAGTATAAATAGGTAGTAGGTTGGTTGCTACGGATAATCATTAGTTAAATGAAAACCTAATTAGACAAGGACAAATTTTCGAAACCAGGAAGTTCGGGGTCAACTTTAGGTCTCCTATATCTAGGTACTCAATAAAGTTATGTCTATAGGAATGGCTTACAGCCAATGTGACATTGCACCAAAAGAAGGAGCAGCATCAAACTTCTTCATTTCATGACATATCCAACACAAAAGTCCAGAAGTTAATTTAATATCTTACTAAAGAAGTAAAGAAACAAGCAAATAAATAAGGAAACCAAAATATCAGCTAGAAATCGGAACAACTAGCAAATATAATATCGAATTAAAATGCAGGAATGCGGGAAAGTACAATCCCAATATACAAGCTATGTATATGGCCAATGCTTATCCAAGCAGACGGCGCCACGGCTCATATATCATAGACAATAAATACAAGAATATTCTATTCAACTAAATTTTATTAAAAAAAAAAGAAGATGACTGTAAGATATTCATGTTTGAAGAATAAGAAGAATTTGTACTGTTATTTGTCACGTCACAATGTATTTGAGGACATAACCTATATATTGACAATTAATTAGCAATTTGAGTGTAATGCATTTGTTTTTGTAATTTGTAAAACATTCTTTTAAAATATATGTTTATTTGAGTCATCTACCATTTATTATTACTATATAACAATTATTTGGCGACGAGGAAAATAATTGAACAGATATTTTAAAGAAATACATATTTTAATAGTTCAAAATGTCTAGAAATGAAGATAGTGCCATGGATTATCAACCAATTATTAACGTAGTAAATACGGGCGGTGTATCTTCATTAGCGATTTTTAAACAGGGTGACGATTTTGAAGTTTTTGAGGAACTTTATAGTAATCATGAAGGGATAATAAAAATGAAATCAATGCACGTTCATACTTCTGGTGGCCTAACCTAGATTCTGATATAGAACAAACAGTAAATGGTTGTAAAGTCTGTGGACATCTAAAATCAGAGCCCATCAAAGCTAAATTAATCAAAACTCAATTATCTACTTATTTTTATAAAAGAATTCTATAATTTTTATAAAAGAATGCTGATTTTATGGGACCTATAAAGGGGAAAATGATACTCATAATTATT